CGATCCTTTTATAGAATTCATCAAGGTAACAACATTATAAATACCGTTAATACTTTTAAACATCACAATTTTACCTTGAATGCTTATAAAACACCGATAAGTAGGGAATGCTTATGACACCATTTGTTTTGCATGCCAAACCAGTTCCACCAAAGGGTGACTCAACTGATAAAGATGATGTAAACGTAGATGAAAATCAAATGGATGCAAATGTTGTTAGATATTGTGACATATTGTCAAGTATTGAAGATTTGATAAATGTATGTATATTATGTTTGTTTGATGAAGTTCTACATTTCATTTGTTTTATTTAATCTTGTTAAATATAAATTATAATTTAGGAACATATTAGAAAAGAAAAGAAAGGTGGGTGCTTATATACTTCGATTTATTACCATGCCATAAAATAAATTTATCATGTTCAATATTAATTTTGTTTATTAATAAAAGGTGTTCCTGAACAATCCCGACTCAAACGTCTTGTTCCATCAGTATCAACTTTTCATACTGAATTACCATTACGCAAGTCTTTTTTATTAGCCAACGCTACACATTCAATTGCTGCTCGTCGATTTGTTCCACCTAGTTTTAATGACATTAGAAGGTATTTCATCTTTTATATTTTTTTGTTTCTTCAATAAATAAGTGTTCATTTTTATTATTTGATGCTACAATTTTAGAATATTAAATACTGCTCAGGTATTTGTTATTTTCTATTAGATTATAATAAATTTGATGTATTGATTTTCAAATATATTTTGTTTTATTTATTTGATTCAGATTATCGCGATTGCTCCAAAACTTAAATTGATAACCTTGTAAGTGTTCATAATTATGTAATTTGAATTGCATAAGATAACTTATAAAACTTAATTACGTAATTAAATAGTGACGGAGATATGACACTTTATGATGATGGAAAAGATTTCGAGCAAGATTCCGCATTGGTCAATTTTCTTGTAAAATTATTGGAATTTGACCTTTATGTGTGTGTAGTGACGGCTGCTGGTTATCCAGGTGATGCCCAACGTTATGAACAACGACTATCAGGTTTACTAAAGGGCTTTGAGAGTGCACAACTGCCTAAATCAGTTTGCGAAAGATTCTATGTGTTGGGTATGTTGTTATAAATAATTCCTACCATATTATTATTGGCATTAAATATAATATTAATTATATCAATTTTACTAGGTGGAGAATGTAATTATTTGTTCCAATGTCAAGAAAACTATCACCTGAGATATATTCCGGAATCGTAAGTTTAGATATAAATTTAGAATATTCAAAACAATATCTAGTAAATACATATCATTTTATTTTATTTTACTTTATTTTATATATATTTTATATATATTTATTTTAAATAATTTAGTGAATATCAACCAGAAGAGATCTTGTCTTGGCGTGAACATCAGATTAATGCTATTCTTGATGTTGCTCAAGACACTTTACAACGATGCATTAATGATATGAAGTTGCCATGTACAATATTACGTAAAAGTAAGGCTGTTGGTATGTAATTCCTTGATTGCTTAGATTGAATTACTTTATACATTCAACTTTATTCATACAATTTATTTCTGGAAATAGGCATTGTACCTAAACCAAATGTCAGGATTTTTAGGGAACAGCTTGTTAGTGTTCTAAAGCATTTGTTGACTATATACGAGCATTTTCTGTGAATTACTAATTAACTATATTTTACAAATTATGCAGGATGAATGTGTTCTCTCAACTCAACATAGTCTTGTCAGTTATTTGCAATCACCATTGGGCAAACAACATTCTTTACCTTTTTGTGCATTTAATGGAGGAAGGGACGTTTGGGTCGACATGCAAGTATTTCAATAAAGTGTATAGTCGCAATATCATACATCCTGCGCGTTATTTCGAAATAATGGATCAAAAATTGAACTTGATGTATCCGTTAACAATTGCTATACAAAGTGTGCGTTATTCTGAAACAAAATATAATGTTTTAAGGATGCAATTTCCGAGATAACGCCCACGAATGAACGTTATTCCGCGACTATACAGTATATTGTATTACCTCATTTATATTTAATACATTAATAACGTGATAAACTTTGATGGGATATCATTTAGTGGCAACAAACTTATAGGTGTACGGATTTTACAAAAGTTTCTCGGATCTACTCCTGCCGAAACCTTACATGTCGGAGACCAGGTAACATTCTGTGTTATTTTATTTTATTTTTTTTAAATGAAAAACAAAAGTTTGTGAACGCTTAATCAGTTCAATTACACTTAAACGAACTGTTAATGTCTTGAAAAGTTAAATAAAAAATAAATGTGTACACAAAATTTTGGCGAAATGTTATTAAAAAAAGATCTTAACATTTGATTTATTACATATGTAGTTCTTGTCTACGGGAAATGATTTTGCTACAAGATCACAATGTTGTACGTTGTGGATTGTTAATCCTGAAGAAACGCAAAATGTATTGATAGAACTAGTATCTTCATTAGAAGAGAAGGAAAAGTCCCAAGAGAACAGTTGTTAAAGGCTATTTCTTATGTTAAAGAACTGAACCTGATTTATTTAAGAGATGTCTTCAGATTATATTTATTGTATGTTTATGGTTTTCTATGATTCTGTATTTCTTTTTGTTTTTATAAATGTTTTTTACCGTATTGTCACGAAATAACGGGCATGGGCGTTATCTAGAATAATGGCCCGAATTAAGCTTAATTTAGCCAAAATTTGTAATTTCACCCTTGCGCGTTATTTCGCGACAATACCCATAGAGTTTATTTATTTTGACGAATAAAATATTGTAATATACAAGTACTGTAATATTAACTACATCAATCGTTTTGTGCATTTTATATTGCGCCTAAGATAGGGACATGTGATTCACCACGCTTTATTGTGGGTTGAGCCACCATTTTTACATCAATAAATAATTTTGTGATTGCTGTGACTTGTCAGGAATATAGTAAAGCAAATCGCGTATCCATGGTCTAAGGTGATTTCAACGTTGCACCACCAGCATTTCGAATCCGATAATCTATAATTTACTTATTCCCGTCTACACGGCAAATAATTATTTGCTTCTCAAATTACTAATTAGAAATTACTAATTAGATGATCGCCTATCATACGTATATCTGCACAATTCATTATTTAATTTAAAGATTCCCGATCTTCTAATATTCATTAGTATGCTAAGTATTGTAGTTGATTGACCAAGTAATTATGAAAATCTCATTACATTGTCACAAAGTTTGAACTAAATAAAGTATACCAATAATTTCAATAATACCCTATTCATTTTTAATATTCGAACTTATTTTCGAATTCTACAGATCAGTAGGGTTTGAAAATAGTCTTAAATATTGAAATTGGACAAATCATTATCGAAATGTTTTCGTTCAAAGAAGTAAAAACGTGACTAATATAAGAACATTCACAATTTCGTGGAATCTTGAAAATTGGACCGTTATCGAAATATCTCCGCTCAAAGCTTAATAGAGTGATTTATGCTTTAAAGAATCGTGAATAATTTCAAATGTTTGACGTTAAGTTGAAAGATATCTTGGTTGAAATATAGTAGCAGATAAATTTTAATATAGATTTTATCGATATTCTTACATTCTGACATTGTATTGGTAAATAAAAATTACGCGTTAAAAAAGAATTATAAAAAAATTTTTTTTGTACTGTACGTAGTGATAGATTCCGAAAATAAGCCACTAATACCGTATTTTCGCGGAATAACGCTCATGAGCGTTATTTCGAAAATTGCGCCCTCTAAAAATAACATTTATAGCTTC